GGAGTAGCATGGGGTTTCCTAGTTGTGAAACGAAATGAACTGGCGGCGTTGAAGAACTCGGCTTATCTGAACATGGAAACAGCGATAGATAAGCGTTCGGCCTGCGCCGTTACATTTGTAAAAAAAAAAAAAAAGCGCGACTCCGGCGGGAAGGATAAGTCTTTACTGCGCGAATGATTTGGAAGTCTATCAAAGCCTCGGAATTGCACCATTTTTGTCTAATATGATTATTGTAAAGATAAAAAGTCTGTTACTTCTTGGGCCGATACAATATGCCGACCATTTTTTCCATCATCTTCAGAAATCGATTGTATATTCAGGGTGCGATAGGTAAATTGTCGCCATCTTATATGTTTAATTTCGCGCATGCGCGTTGTTTGTTTTTGATTCTGTCGACAGCACAGCATAGTATGGTCACTTCTGTGAGACAAAGAACACCATGACGCAATTCACTACATCAGAAATTTACAAACCGCATGCTGTACTGCTTAGAATTCGTTCTAGAAGCTCCAATATAAATATTTTAGATTGTTTGGATGTCAATCTGAGGACAGGGCAGAGGATTCGGTAAGAGTTGGATGAGTCTAATGGTGATTACGAAGGTACGGCAGCTCGGAAAACTCACACTACTCGTTCTGTCTGATAAGAAAAGAACTACCGAATTTGTTGGCGTGGGCTTCAGACAGAGACCTACATCAAGTGAGGAAGTAGTCCTGCCCTGGGTTAAGAGGATGGCTGCTGGAAGACCTTATGTCTGGCAACAGTACTCTGGACCGTAGCACACAAGCAAGAGAACTCAGTCATGGCTGTCAGGAAATTTCTCCGACCACGTCACCCCTTACAACTGGCCACCTAACTCCATAGACTGCAACCCCCCCCCTTGATTATTATGTGTGGGGCGCAATTGAGCGAGAGCCCAACAAAACTTCTTGTAACACCAAAGCTGAACTGAAGGCAAAGATTATGACAGTATTCACCAAAATAAACAAGGAGACCGTCCAGAAGAGTTGCAAGAGATTCCGAAGTCATCTGGAGGCCGTGGTTGAAACAAATGGCGATTTTATTAAATTAATTTACTCTTTAGTATTTCAAGGTATTTTTGTGTAATTTTGGTAAATATATCTTTTAAAATGAGTTGTCAGTGTTATTTTCACTTTTGCGTAATTTAGACGACAATTTATCCATCACATCCCGTATGTATCCATTTACTAGATTAAGTGTTGGCACTAATTGACAGCAAAAGAATAATTTTCAAGGAATAAAGAGACGGAGATTGTCAAAATTTATCCGAGAAGCTGGGAATTTTTTACATTTGAAATAGAGGTATTCAGTATTTAATCAGAGCAGTGAAGCAAAACATTGTTGACAAAGAAGAAAAAACTTCACTTTGTATAGATTTAAAAACATCTGTGACTTGAAAATATGGTGTTACAAAGAAAAGGATATTGATTATAAGGATTTGTACAGCGATGTCACGTGAGTAAAAGAAAAATAGTAATGAAAATTTTCAATTATTTCAAAGCAGATGGACACGCTATTTGCAAACATGAATTCTATTCACAAACTATTTTAGAATTTAACTTTTGTCCGCGCGAATTTGTCATGTGCTATTTGGGATTTTGAGCGAAGAAAAAGTAAGGCTTCTCATTATGATCCGTAAGAACTCGATTGTTGTTTTTTTGTGTTAAAATAGCTGATTAGTGACATTATTAGCTATCATCGCAATGTAATTCTCTTTCAAAAATAAAATATTATTTTCTGAAACTTTATTGAAAGAATACAAGCTGATTTTAAGTTTAATTAATTTGATTTGAAACAAATACTATTTACTTTAAGTTTAAAATATCGTAAAAATATATTTTTAAATTACGTCAGTAGCTGTTTATTTAAGGTTTTGACATGTTGACAGCTTGAAGGAAGGTGAAAGTTTATATCTAATGTTTTTCTATGGTAGTTATATCTGTAAAAATAATTGAAGAATATAACGTGAGCGTTTTTTTATATATTTTTAAGTATTCATTCATTTTTAAAATTTAGAAAAATATTCTCCGTAATCTAATGTTTTATTGAATTTTAGACACTTTAACTTTGCTAAAGTTATTGCTCTTGTTTTCTAATAGCATCGTGTATGAAGAACCATATCTACAAAAATCGGCACCTTTATACGCATGCAAAATAAAATTTCAATTTTTTTAAATTATTGGTGTTTAATACTTTGTACTAAGATTTTTCATTTATGATTAGTAAATATATTTTTAACTTAATAACAACATCCCTTAAAGGAGATAATAATAAAGCAGAAATTTAAAAGATTTAAAATTTTAAAATAAATTAAAACAATTCTCGTAAATAATTCATTATTCATCAAAAGAATATTTCTTAAAACAATAATTTCCATAACATAATTCACTCATAAAAGCAATTAAAAGATTTTCTAATTAAATAATGTATTAGTTTTGTTGCATTTTTTATTTCACGATTCAGAGCAGATTTCCGGTAACTGGAGTTTCTATTTTACAAAAAGAATTTGACGATTTAAATTATCCAAGTTCTGCTCTAATATGAACATTAATTGGGACAAAATATAATTTCTTGAAATTTCATAAATTAAATAAGTGGTTGGTAAAAGATGTAAAAAAAAGTTTCAAATCAATATGTTTTTCACTGAAAAAAAAAAAAACTTAAAATTTCCAGTAAGAAAAACAAGATTTTAACTAAAGTTTCAAACATTCTAAAAAAGTAAATGAATATAATTTAATAATTAAAACATCTTTGATCGTTCCTCTTAATAATAACAAAGATTTTAATGATAAAAAGTTTGTTTTTATTAAGTTTGGGTCATTTTTGTTTTTCATCATGGTATGTTAATTGTCACCTGGCGCACGGGCAGTGAGCCGAGTTGTTATATACTCCCTTTCAAATGAAGCAAATTAGCTCCGCTCAAAAACCAGATTCACCTTCAAACTGAACAGACTGAAGCTGTAAGTTACACATCAAGAAATAAATATGACGACGTGGGAAAAATATCAATACAAAAATAGAATATTTAAGACAAACATTTTTCCACAAGGCTAGGAAATATTATTAATGAAACGATATTTTTTCTTTCGGTTAATATTTCCCAATGTTTGGTATTGAAAACCAGATAAAACGTCAAAATGATAATTTTCCCAGGCAGATTAGATCCTCACCGCATATAAACTGAGCTACATAATCTCCTCACTCCTATTCCGTATTCAGATAAGTTTAGTAGATATCAAAAAATATCAAAGACAGGACGTCATTTTGTTGGCCTTTTCTGATGGTTGAGAATATTTGTGTTCCTGCCCATGTAAAAGATAAGATTTCGAATTCTTTCAACATAAATAATTTATGTCTATTTAAAAATAAAAATTGATACAACAAAACTTTCTTCTGTCATCTTGAGTATCTAATCTTATGCGATATATAATAAATATCTGACCTGCGGTATCTATACATTTCCCAATCAAGTGTTCGATTCGCCGGCAAAATAGCGGTATTTCGAATGCTAATTTTAAAATTAGCTAGAAAGGCTTTCACCTTATGAAAAATTGATTTAATACAATTCCCTCCCTGCACCATTGACCATTTTGTACAATAAGTGTTTTGTTTTGTTTTTCTGGAAATAAATTTATTTTACAATCCCGCAATATATAATAGAATATAAGTTATATATTTTAGATTCTTTCAAATAAAAGCCAGACTATGTGTGTGTTGGAATCTCCAAACTGAGATGCGAGTTTAAATCCATATTGCTAAGTAAACGCATTGGTCGCTCAAAAAACGTCATTTCATGGCTTTTAACAATTTAGAAAGTTTTATAAGGATTTAATTTCCTGTGATGTTATAATGGAAGGCCAATGTTCAATTGTCTCATTCCCTAGGGGTTCCACAGTTAAATTCAATTCGCTAGATTTAATGATGGCGTGATTAGGATTTCTTTTAACCTGTTTTTATAACTGTTTTCTGAAATTAGGAGATAATTTTAATTTTTCCTTTACTTTTTTATTTATTTTTGGTTAATGTCTTCATGTTGCTTTTTTTAATATAATTTTTGAACCGATATAATCTTCGATTTTATACAGGTGTTTGCTAAATATAAAATTCGTTTAGTAATTTCTTCCTTTTTTCTCATATTTTTTTCCTAACAAGAATATTAGCAAACATCGATAAAGATTTTAACAGCGAGACGTTGTGTCAAAATGACAGTTTTTCCCATGACATCGCTTTTTTAACTACCTTAACTCTTCGGCAATGCTTATTGAAAAAGCGATGATTAGAATTGGAATAAAACTTATATTATGAAAACGAATTTATGCATTCTTTTGTTCTACAGAATTTACAACAAAAATATGCAACATTGTTTATTTATGAGAATACTTATTTACAGGAATGATTTTATATTTCCAATAGGCTGAAAACTAACATAATTAGAACAATGTAATGAATATTTATCATTTACCAATTTATATAGAAATAAATGCGAAAAATATTTTATTCATAAATTTATAAACATTTGCTAAATTATTAAAAGGTGTGAAACAACTATGAGGAGATCATTATTATTTAATATTGCACGATGCTTTTCCAATCAATTCTATAAATAATATAATAAACAGTTTAAATAAACAATCGAATAAATAAATAGCGTTGATTATGTTTCTTGTCAATTCTCAAGAGCATATAAAATGTATAAATTCACTTTCGTATGTTTAGGTTTTATTAAAATTCTATTCATCACTTTTTAAATCAATAAACATTGTCGAAGAATGAAGTTAGTTATGTGACAAAGAGCAATGGTCACCCTTGAAATATTAATAATTATAGAAATATAGATTTTTGTTTATAGATGAGAAAAATAATCTGTGGTGAAGTTTGTGGCCAGAAAATCTGTTCTTCGTTAGAATTATTAATATAAAATGTCATATAGTGTTTATATGAAATATGGGATACAAGTTGAGAAGATACTGTTCATTTAATCATGAAGGGGAGAGGTCAGTAATCAGGTTGTATTCAAAGTTTACTAACACCCCGGGTTTTTTGTCGCTACCACCGTGTTTGTGCGAAAACAAACAGTCGAAGTCGAGTTGGAATTGGAGCTGGGTGAAGTGAGTTGACAAGCAGTCGGCCAGTGAGAGAGAGAGAGAGAGAGAGAGAGAGATGAAGAAAGAGTGAGCGTGAAAGCGTCCGCTTGCTACTGTAATAAGGAAGTTATCTGCAATATTGGCACAATATTGCCAATGAACCCCCGTTATATCCTGATTTTGAAATAATTACGGCAACTACTAAGAACAAAAAGAGTGAACCCGAAAACTACTTCTCCCCTTTCAGAACTATTTGCAATATTTGTTTTTATTTTTTTTCTGGGCTTTATTTCATATACACTACTTTCTTGTAAAAGATGCATTATTCCTTTTGTACCAATTTCTTCGTGAATATACGTAAAATTTTATTTGGACTCGAATCGACTTGTTCATATTTGATTTTTCTACTTGGCCCGATTCTTGCACCAACGAACTTGCAGGTAGACCAGCTGAATCTTCCGGAATCTACAATTTGTTATTTGCTCTCCAGAATCAAAAAATCACAACGTGGCTGGAAAGTGGAATCAAATCGACATTGTGAACGGGAGACTTTGAAACTGTAATACTGGATCAGGACAGGACCAACGGCCGATCTTGTAGAGTATATCGATCCAGTGAGGTCAGGATAGGCGTTGAAGTTAAAATAAAATCAGTGTTATAGGAAAACTGTTTTTCTTTTTAGCATTTTGTCTTATTGTGTTCACATATATCCGTGTATTTCAGAATACTTATCTATATAAGTATATCAACATGGAACACTATGAATATTTGTAAAAACTTTTATGACTTTATGAAGAATTTGACTGCTTGAATCCCTAAATTCCTTAGTATTACACAGAAGATTTAACAATCATTAAAAGTGTCATCTTAGCAATCCTGGGAAAAAATCAGAATAATATAGGAAATAATAAGAATCTAAATCATTATTGAATTTTAGACACCTTCGATTTACTAACATTATTGCACTTGTTGTCTAATAATATCGTGTATGAACAACAATATCTACAAAACTCCTATCCATTCCGCTTTGATAAGTGACCAAAGTGAATATAATGTCAGAAGTTTATCTTAATTCAAAACAAACAAAAAAAAAAATAATTTTAAAACATTTACAAATGATCGAATTCATGAAAAAATCAATAGTGCGTGAATTTGGCAACAAACCTATAAATTAATTAAAGATGCGTAAATTAATGAGATAATGGATGTTCTTGGATTCCAATGACCGGATTTCTGTTCTTGATTGGTTATCAATTGCTTGAAGACACAAATAGCATCACTGTAGGCAAGCACGTCGGCACAATTAGAATAATTATTTCAATCTGATCGCATTCCGAAAGCTGCCAATTCTACTCATGTGGAAAATATTTTACTTGGGCAGAGTGCACAGTTACTACACTGATTCTATGTACAAGTCCTCATCTATATTTAAACAATTTCGTATTTTCTATTGTTAATTGAGTGTTTTTACGGCTTAACAACCTTTCGTTGGTTATCTAAAGCAGAAACATATTTTGAATCGTAAGAATCCTTCTCAATTTTCGATTGATTATTGCATTAACAAATTTTGAGAATAATAATGAATTTTCCAGGCACAGTTAACTATTTAACCCATAACTTGGGAGGAGAAGGGATTCATAACTTTACCAAGGTTATTTGCGCATAAGTGAATGCAACGAACCCGGCTGGAATTCGAACTCAGTCCTACAATTTCTCATCCATTCCCAAAATTGCACATCGATTTTCTACGAGCAATATCCTAGTATTTCTAAGAAATCAAAATTATTTATGATAGATGTTCTTTCTCACGAACACAACCAAGTACAAAGGAATGAAAATGGTTGTGCATAAGTTAACAGCACCGTCTTCGATAAACTAAGAATAAACGCTGGATACTTTTGCACACAAGTAGATATTTAAGAATTTTGGTTGACTTTAACTTGGAAGAAAGAGCTTATATTTGAGCATCTGGAAATGATAGAATTCAAGAAAAAAGTCAATCGTCTTCGAATCTAACTGCCAATTCCAAATCGTTTAAAGCTATCAGCTCTGTTACAATCTCGTCTATTCTTGTTGCATTGTTTCTCTTTATATTGGCATGGGATGGTCTAAACAAGTATTGTTCGATTACGACTTTCTTCCATGCTTTTAGCTATTGAACGTTTCTCTTCTCTGTTGTTGAACAGCTGTCCAACTTTATTCATTCCATTTTCTTTTTCAAGTATGATCTTTCCGTTCTATGCAGTCAACCGAATAGAACGATTTTTTTCCTACAATTTCCTTTAACTTTTTATGCGTTTCTGACAAGTCTACGCTTTTCACTTCTTCAATTTCCACATTTTTCACTGGGGCATTCACTTTGCGTTTGCGCGTGATTTTGCATTGAAAAGTGCATTTCTTAATCATTTGTTAATGACGAAGTAGTCTGGATTTTAATGTCTTCTCTGGACCTTATCCGTGTCCATCAGCGTCTTGGATGTTCTTGAAATAAGGTATTTTATTACTTCGCCATTAACAGTCTATCAATGAAACCATTTTTTTTCTCCGCGTTGGTTATGTGATACAAGTCCATACATACTGAGCGTTTCAATAACTTGGCCCATGAGTCTATTTTATATGACAATACTCATTTCTTGGGACTTTGTCTGGTGTGTAGCATTTTCTAGTGAGTGACAAAACATCTTTTTTCTTTTTTCTGACACATATACCACTATGATCGATATATAGAAGAACTCTATCTCACGGTTATCAGTAGCGAAACCCACTTCCACTTGTGTTTATCTAATATTAGTTAGACTTCTCTTTCACTTCTCTTTTCATCGACTTATATGATAATGTGGTCGTCGCTTGTAAAAAAAAAACAACATTGTTTTCCCATCGAATTTCGCTTAAGCCAAGAATTTTGACATTCGACTTTTCCCTTTACTTGTTTTACATTTTCTAACTTTACGCATTGGTACCGTGTCGTGACATTTCAAGTTCAGGTTACGAATTTTTATTCGTTGCAGACAGTCGCTGACTGAAACTTATTGTACGTGTCTCACATTCCAAGGCAAAATATCGCTTTCTAGGAAGCCGACCAACTTCATCTGACATTTTTCACTTGTGCATTGCAATCTTTAAGGGATGATGGAGTACATTTCTCCATGATGATTTAACGGGACACTACCTCTAATTAGCTGACTGTTATTATTTCGAGTTCATCCACTCTTTTGTAGGTTATATCTTTCTTCACAATAAATTTCTAATCCTCCTCATCGTCTTCAATGAAGTAATTTCCGACACTCGAACAAAAATGATTAACCATTGTTCTTTTCCTTAAACCACGATTAGCCAACTTTTGTGTGGATCAGTCTGCACTAGTGGGATTTTATAGTAGTAGTGCCTTTGCGTTTATGGGATAGAGGATACACGTTATGGATTGCTTGTTGGAACACGTTTATTATATATATATATATATATATATATATATATTCTGAATTTATTTTTGTTTGCCAGGAAATTCTGTTGAAAATTACTTAGCCTTTTGTTACTTTAATTAGTATAGTCATCGGCACTGGAAATATCGATTGCCAGTTTTTCACCAACTGGGGTTTTAGATCTAAGATCAACATCAGACGAGGAATAAGTTGCCAGACTGGCCACTTTGATTCTTTTTTTTTATTTTTTTATTTATTTATTTTTTTTTTTTTTTTTTGATGTGCATCCATATACCATTGTATCATCTGCATAGATATTTACCAACGGACAGAGAATGCTCTTAGCTCATTCAGCGGAAAGATGAAAATCACGAAGATAGCGTTATCGTATTTAGTTCAATTTTAAAACTGCCAAATTTTGTTATTCCTGGCCCCTAATATTGTTTAAACCTTGAGCACTGAAATTTATTTACTGAATATTAATAAAAAAAAAGTGATCCGGACTTAAAGCAAGATTCGTTTATAGAACATGACTATGAGATAGATAGATAGATAGATAGATAGATAGATAGATAGATAGATAGATAGATAGATAGATAGATAGATACGAGCAGACTGAGATAGATAGATAGATACGAGCAGACTGATATAGATAGATAGATAGATAGATAGATAGATAGATAGATAGATAGATAGATACGAGCAGACCGAGATAGATAGATAGATACGAGCAGCGAGATAGATAGATAGATAGATAGATAGATACGAGCAGAATGAGATAGATAGATAGATAGATAGATAGATAGATAGATAGATAGATAGATAGATAGATAGATAGATGTGAAAAGACTGAGATAGTTAGATATGAACAGACTGAGATAGATAGATAGATAGATAGATAGATAGATAGATAGATAGATAGATAGATAATCATAAAAATCAGAAAGAAAATGATTTTCACTCGACAAGAATACAACAGTTACAAAGAAAATAATGTTTCCATATACAAAGCATGCATTAATAATTATATAATTAATTAAATATGTGCAAGGGACATATTTAATTAATTTTAAGAATCTAAATTGAGCCAAACGCATGATATATACACAACGTCTCTAAAAAGATACAAATATTACACTGATCTGATATTCAACTAATCATTTACATTAGGTGAAATATGTACTTTTTAACGGAGAGCCCCTCTTGTGAATATGTGGGCAAGAACAAAAACATCGAATCCCAACAGTCCACTGTAACACAGACATCGCTCTTTGGTACAATGACAAAGGTGTGGCTGTGGTGTTGGGTTACCAAGGACTAAACACCCTTCCTTGCTTCGCCGTGAACTGCTTGAAGGCAGAAACATTTTGCCGATAAATCGCATCGTACTATGGAAACACAATTGCGTAAATTGAAAAGCCACTACATTTTGATTACTGTCCGCAAGCTGTGAATGCTACTACTGTGTAAAATATTTTGTCTAGACAGAGTGAACAAGCCAAAAGTATCAACCAAACACGCATATGAATGCAAACGGATAAATATACACAGAGTCTATAAAAGATATGTGTGCAAAAGCTAACAACATCCGCTTTTTAAAACTATAAACTAAATTCACAGTATCAAACGACATAAAATAAGCGCTGGATATTTTGTGTACACCAAATCGATATTTATGGATTTTATTTCGGTTATGGTAGCTAATTTAATGACATTTCAACCTTTGTTTATGTTTTATGTCTTACAAGAGAAGTATTCGATTTTTCTACTAGAGTCAAAAAAAAAATTAGTTAGGCAGAGGTCTATTGTATTTTTTGTAATCTGCACCCCACCATGCAAGTCAGTAAAGCTAGAAAGGCTTGCAGAATGTGAAAGAATTAGGAACAGAAAATGAGTAAGGAGAGGAAATAGTAATCAGTAGATAGCAATTGACATTGCATTTAAATTATTGCAGATAAAATTTAAGTAAAAAATATGGGTTCAGAAGGAAGGTCCACAAGTGAGAAGTTCGAGAGAAGAAACTGTTAACATAGAATTTGCGGTTACATCTATCAATCTCAATTGTAAATTGATGAGATCTTGACGCCAGTCTGGTACTGTACTTAAGTTAAAAAATGTCTAGCTACCAGAACAATAATTATTTCTTAAAATTTTCAAAGATGTGGCACAAGGACAAAATTGGGAATGAGAAAATGATGGTTATTCTTCTGTCTTATAATTAAAATTAGCTCGCCACAATCGCTACCACGAACAGACCACAATAATCCTTACACCAAAACAACGCATTCCTAGTATCTCTCTATATTGAGATGAGGTATTATGCACACTATTTACATTATTCGGGCTATTGTCCTCATCTTTCTCGCCATATTTATTACAACGATTCGGCCGCTGTACGCTTCGGCGTTCTTCAGGTGGTTGGAATGTCGAACTGAACCCTTTATTTCGCTCACTGGGGTAGACTGTTCTAGTTCCACGGGACATGTTTAATGGATGTCAGTTATCAGTTATATCCTTTTAATTTCCCTCTGAAAGTTCTCCACTGCCTTAGCCGGGTATTGAACTCACACTCTTTGGGTCCTGTCACTGGATCTAATTAACGCCTTTATCCACTGTGGCATGTGGCCTTGAGGACACCTGAAGAAGGCCAGAACGTACAACTGCCGAAACGTTGTAATAAATATGGCGACATAGATGAGGACAATAGTCCGAATAATGTAAATAATGAACGCATTCTTACTTACCATTCTTACTTACGGTCAAATCACGCTGAAACACCGGTTCTCGTACGATCACCGAAGTTAAGCAGCGTAGAGCCAGGTCAGTACTTAGATGGGGGACCGCTTGGGAACACCTGGTACTGTAAGCCCCCAAAGTCCAACCCTTACCTCGCAGTCGGTGGGGGGTGTAAACGGTAGTGTCAGAGCTATGCCGCCCGGAACTTCGTTCCTGGTAGGGCCACCCAAGGCGGACAGGTCTGACACACACGCCGGCTAACAAGGGCTCTGGTGAAAATCCATGGAGCGTCTGTATCGGTATCCGGCGTTCCTGTCTCTGCGTCTGTGGGAATCCCGCGGAAAGCAAGAACGTTATCCGAGTAGGCCTGGGTACCCTGCTTCTGTAATTTATCCCAAGAATCTTCTTCTCATAACAGGAAGAAGCCGGCTCAATCCGCCCAGGGTGAATGCCGCATCAGTACAGTACAGTACCATTCTTACTACATCCACCATAATACTTCAGAATCTCCATGAAGTCTTAACTTGTCCCTATATATATAATTCTTGTTTGTGATGGTGAGAGAGATAAAACAATTTAAAAATCTAAACCTCAATGTGTATTTACAGTGTATAATAAACTATTTATAAATAAATAGAATAATGTCACTATGACCGCCCTCCCCCTACCGTCTCCACAATCCTTAATTGTGGTAGCAAACATCAGTTAACTGGACGAAATCAACGTGGGACATTAATAATATAAAACACTCATCTGTCCAAACATTCCCTCAAACACACACTCATTAAAACATAACAACAAATAGGAAAATCACACCCAAATTACAAAAAAGCTTCCCGCATTCACCAGATAACTGACATCTCTGGTCACCTAACAGGGGAGGGGAGGGGAAATTAAAGTGAAGAAAGTTGAGACAGAAATAAAAGGGCCAAACTGGCATACATCCCCTACGTCAATTAGCAGTGAGGGAAGAAACTAAAGATGAAAAAACAACTAAGCTAACCAAATTTCGAGCAGGGATGCCAATGTTCAATCCAGTTAGATTAATGTCCTAATGCCTAAAAGCATCAAAGTGCCACTTTAAATCAGTCACTCTTACTCGACACAAACCTGCAAGACTTACCTACCTTTGGTTAAATTCTGATGGCGTTTCCGTCCTAATGCTTAAAGAACAAGATCGGTTGGAAAGCGTATCCGGTAATTGCTCGAAATCAACTGCTCAAAAAATAATTTCTCGAACTATCAATTGCTCAAAAGGCAGTTTGCTCGAAACCTGTGGTTAAAAATAAATAAAACTACATTGTTTCTAATATTTACTATAAGATAAAATAATACAACTTTATTGTTGTTAACTGAACAGTTAAAATTAAAGAACGAGTACATTTATATAGCAAGTCTTATTTTTTTTCTCGAAAGGCAGTTTGCTTGAAACCTGTGGTTAAAAAAATGAAACACGGGTTAAGCATTTTTTTTTTTTTTTTTTTTTTGCACATTGTTCACTGTTTTGTACTTAATATATATATATATCCATCATTTCAAGCAATTGATTTCGAGCAATTTACCTAGATCTGTTGGGAAGAGGTTAACTTCTCGCCCCAATAGAATTCTTTCTGACATGTCCTCCAAATAACGACCCTGAAAACGCCTAGCAAGCAAAATAACACAGTTTTCAGCCTTCATCAACAGTGGTACCACATTCCTATAGACAGAACTGGCTTTCAGCACGAAAACTTTTCCACGCAGGATGCGAACAATGATACCTTCAATAAACTTTCGTAACTGGACTTCGACATGCAATGAAATGTGTGATCAAGGATCGCCATCTCCCTATCACATCGAATGCAGATTGAAGATTTTTCCAAGCCTGCCGAATAAAGTCTTTTACCAACCCAGATGGACCTTCGAATCACCAGCCAGGTAAGTGATGCCTCATCATTATTGAGGCATTTGAAAACCGGTTTCCAAGGCCCTATTGAGTAGGCCTCCTGCTTCATAAGACCAAACTTGTCTATCAGATCATCTAACACTCCTAACTAAAACGTAATATAATGACCCTACGAGATAAAGCAGAAGACCGTAAGATGTGTTTCAGGGCAATTCAAAATTCACGATAGAAGGAGCACCCATCTCGGGATAAAGTGTGGGAAGCTCCACCTCGCACGAGTTCCCATTTCTCAGGGATAGAAAGTTCTTACGGGCGTCTTCCTTCCAGAATTCACCCTTCTCATTCGATTTCTGTTACATTCGATATAGGAACAAATGCGAAGCGTATGTTGTCGCGTCTCAACGCTAGGCATATTCAGGCCGCCTTCAAATGTATTTTGGAGGAGTTGCTTCCCCTCAAGAATGAGAACAAGAGCCTTACTAATGATATTTAATGTAACAGATGGAAGTGGAAGTACGGAGAGTCGGTAAAGGAAACTCGGGTAGATGTGCGAGGCACGTACTTCCGCCCTTCCTTTTAATTAAAGATTACTCCGAGACCACTAATGAAGTACGACGTCGGCTTTCTCCTATACCTTCCAGCAAGAGATCGGAACCGAACTAGACAAGACCGCCCAGATGAAAGGCCCGGGAAGAGGAATTCCCTTCTATGCACCCAACCGTTAGCCAACAGACTTATCGTGGTTAATCTTGACCCCTGTCACCATCTCGTACCCTCGGATCAATCTCGGCTCTGCTCGACACAATGACCGAAACATCGTCAGAATAGGCGGAGTAACTGGCCGGTTAGGGAAATTCCGCGTAGACCGGAATTGTCCACTTGCAAAGGAAAGTACGTATAGCAGAGGCGAAAGAGGGTAACTTTGACGAATGGAGCAAGATAATAAGAAAATCTCCGATCGAACGCCATTGACTTCCAAAAGCGCACCGACAGAGGAATGCTGAAGTCGGATCCAGGTTCGAAAGTACGGCCCGAAACCGGCCGCCGAAAAGACAGCCTACATAAAACAATGGTCAACCCAATCAAAAGCCTTAGACTGACCTAAATTGATCAGTACGGCTTCCCAGTCTCACTGGATCGATCGTTAAGCGTACCATAAAAGGTTTTCTTGATTGGCGCTGCCCTTCACAACACTAGTCGGACGCAGACTATAGAGGTCAGTGTGCAAACGGCTAGCTGAAATCCTTAACTCTGTATTTAACATCGTTAAAGGCCGAAGGTTACCTATCCCATCCCCACCGTTTTTGCCCTTG